AAAAAAAAAAAAAAAAAAAAAAAAACACATCATAGTAAAACCAATACCTTCTCAGATTCGCATCGAAGCTAAAAAATATATATATATAAAAACATAATATTATATTATAAAGATATTTTGTAACTCATAATTAAACAATCACCTTGTATATACTGAGTATCTCAATCCTAACTGACATTACTTATATATTTATTACATTTATCATTTTGTTAAATTTTTTGTTTTATAATTATTGATTCTTTAAAATACTTTCAAAACATAATTTTTATTATTTATCATTAATAAGAAAATTTAAATTAATTTATATATATATAAGTGATAAATATTGAAAAATATGTTTCAAAAATAATTTAAGATGGCAATTATTATTAAAAAGAAAAATCAACAAAATGATATATGAATCAAAAGTTATAACCGTTGTCAGTTGAGTACGATATCGACTGTGATGTGATTATAGTCATATTATTATCTATATTATGTTAAAAAAACTATCAAACCTTACTGAGAGTTTGCAGTGTTGCTGTAATAATAATTATATTTAAGTTAGTATTTAAATTAAAAACGGTAGCACAGTGGGGTCGCGGCATAGTGGAGACATTGCANAATGTACCTCATAAATACTTAAATTGCATTAACGGTAAATAATTGTTATTATGTTTTAATATTAATTTTAAATAACTCTATTTTTCAAACATATATTTTATCGGTACTTGAGTTATCATTTAAAATAAAACTTTGTTTAATCTGAACAATACTATAACAATTTTTAATTTTTAATTTTTAGATTAATTAATTCATTTTTTTGTTTTATAAATAAAAGAATTATTTAAAAAATAAAGATTAAACAAATAATAATATATATCTACATATACTTGTTGAAGTTTAAATTAACAAGTTTAAGTTATAAAAAATAAAAGCGAATATTTGATGAACATACAGTTTCTCTGTGGATAGGAGATAAGGATACTTTCACGGCCCCTCTACCAGTCGTAAGAGGCGACTAATCAGGTTGCGTCAGGTCGACAGCCGGTTTAGTCGGGTGATGACGATATGAAAAAAAGGCGGAAAGATTATTTTGAAAAATTACTGATTGAGAAATACCCAAAACTGTCATTAGAGAATATCTAGTGTAACGAGTGACTGGTAGATTTTATTAGTAAAAAAGAGGTATGGGAGGCTGTGGCATCTAAGAAAAATATTAAAGCATAAGGACCGATGAAGTGTCAATAGAAGTATGGAACATTTTTGCCGGTGTTGGCATAAGTTGGTTGGAGGATCTTTTAAATAAAATCTAATTAGATGGGAAAATGCCAAATGAATGGAGGAATAGTATTGTGGTGTCGATATTTAAAGGTAAAGGAGAGACATACAGAAATATGGAAATTACAGTAGCATAAAGCTTATGAGTCATAGTATGAAGATTTAGGAAAAGGTAATAGATAAGAGAATAAGAAATGAGACATCGGTATCTAAAAACCATTATTTATCTTATATGAGGCAACTAATAGATAAGTTTAGGGAAATGAAGAAAAGGCTGTGTATGGTATTNAGGGAAATGAAGAAAAGGCTGTGTATGGTATTTATAGATTTGGAGAAAACGCATGATAGAGTACCGAGAGAGGTTTTAATGTGAACATTTATGAGAACAGGAGTGCCGAAAAGGTACATTAATAAAATAGAGGATATGTATGATGGCACTTGTACTATGAAGACGGCTGATGTGAGCGTAGATGTTTTGGGAGATCGTGTTAAGTAAAAGATTAGGATAAGGATGGCCGACCCCGAGTAGTTGGGATTAAGGCAAGGATAAAGAAGAAGATTATTTGATAAATACACAAATAAGATTTGAAAATATTAATGTTAAAATATTTAACACAGTAATGAAAATTAAATTCAATTGAAATATTAATTTTTATTTAAAAAAGAAAACTTACAATTTTTATATTTGCCTTCAAATAGAATATTCAGAATTGTTTTTTCACTCTCAATAGAATGTTTTTGTTGACCTATAATAATTTATTATTTTATATATTTAACAAAGAAGCTACACTAGAATTATGATTAACTGTGATATTAAAATTAGATATAAGATACATTTTTAAAATAATTAAAAGTAATATTAAGTAAATTAATATATTTTCATCAAAATTACATCGTCACAAATTGATTTATATTTTACTTTTATAGATTTTATAACACTTATTCCGAATATTCTTCCCCTTATGTTTATATAAATAGAACGTTATATTCAATACTGTAGTAACCATGTATTATTTTTATAGTATGGTTTAAGTCAGTTTTTGAGTTTTATGTAAAATTAAAAATCCAAAGCAATGTAAAATAAATAAACTTTTTCTTTTAAGGTGGCTTACATTGATTTACTTATATTTTATATATCTCACTAAAGTAATCAAATGTTCCGATTATAATCATTTACACAATGTGTCTATTCTGTTGGTAAAATAAAATGGCTTGTTTTTTCAATATTCAGTATATTCAATTTTTTAAAACGTTCTTAAAATCTTTCATTAGTATAATATATATCATTTAGAATAAGAAATTAATTGCATAAAATTTGTCACGATATCATTTTTTTTCATTTTATCAGTAAAAATGATAACTTTAGGTAATTTAAATGTAAAATTTACTACATTCTTAATTTGTTTAATTTTTAGTTATCTGTTAAATAAATTGTCCAGCTGCAAAAGAATATATGTATAAAAATAATGATTTTTGCAATTTCGTTTTTTCCTGAAAAGTTTTAACCTAATTCTTTATAAAGCTGAATAAAAATAAAAATTTTTTTAATATGCAACCCTTAGCAATTGGATAACCCAAATATTGTACATACAATTTTTATAGTTTCCTTATTAATTAAGGGTTACGAAAAAAATTATTTTTGAAATAATAATTGACGTAGTTAATTTTTTTTTCTAATCAAAGTTGATTTATTCTATATTTAAATATTAAAATGAAAACTTACGCATTGGTATTAATGTTTCTAATAATATTTCTGAAAATATAAAAAATATTATACTTAAATACTAAGTAGAATAATTAAACATTTTAATTACAAATTCTAAATTAGATTTTCTAATAATAATATATATATATATATACTAAAATTTAAAACTATATTAAAAATATTATTAATTTAAAACTATAAAATAGTAAAAATATTTAACTATAAAAGTCACAAAAAAAAGCACTATATATTCACTCTATGTATTAAAAAAATTTCTTAAATATCAATATTTCCTACGATAATAATGGTTTCTCTTTATTTTAATAGAAATTAATGACTTATAATTAATTTTTATTAGTTCATTATAAAAAAAAAATATATTATTTTTGATCTAAGCATATTTGCAGTTAATATAACATTAAAACATCACAATAAAAATGATTTATTATTAATAACTACTATTAAAATATGATGATAATTCTGTTTTTAGGTTATTTATTGTAATCTAAAAAGAAATGTATTTTTATCAATTTCGCTAGTTTTAAAAAATAAAATAAAATAAAAACAATAAAATTATTTAGAAATTCTTAAAAATTAATGTACTGTATTCCAACAGGGTTTTATCAAAATCTTCTTTTTTATTTGGCTGTAGATGTGTATGAACCCATAGAATTACATGGAATAATAATTCACTTTGATCTATAATTAATAAAAATGAAGTTTAAAAATTGTAAGAATGAATGATAAAAGATTATTATGCTAAAAACACTACAAATTTTTAGCACTGTTTTGAAATTAGATAAATATTTATTTACTTTTCATATTTTTGACTGCTAAGAATACATTATCTGAAATAAGTATGTTTTTATAAGTTATATATAAGTATATAAAAATAATTTTTAGGATACAATTATACTGTGATAATAAAAAGTGATTGTATTTAGTTTTATATTATTTTGACATTAAAATTGGAGAATTTATTTTATAAATTTAAATTTAATTATTTAAAGTTTGTTAATTTAACCTCATTTAGAAAAATAAAACCTGTATCGAAGAGCATAACTCAAACATAAGAATTACTAAAATTTCTCCTAATAAATAATTCTCCATTATTGGAGGGAATATGATAAAGTTATTTTTTCATATCTTTCAATTAACTTCAAACTAAAAACAAACGACATAAACATTAACACTTAGATTTATCCTAAATAAAATTCCTATTACATAAAACATTAAACGATTTTGTCATCGCAGGTATATTTTTTAGCTTCGATGCGAAGCTGAGATGGTATTAGTTATACCTTGATGTGTCTTTTTTTTTTGTGTCTGTTACCACTTTTTCTCAGCTCTCACCGAACCGATTTCTTTCAACGATACGTCGAAAAATCACAAATCGTATCTAGTCATAGAAATTACTTTCAAAAATTGAAAAAATTTCCATCGTTTCCCGTAAATGGGCGAAATTTCCAAAAAAAAATTACAAATTTAAAATTCGCTAATTTTCGAATATTTTTCAATTTTTTTTACTGAATACTGCCATAATTTTTTTAAAAATGACCAAATCAAAATATTTTTTTTTTTATAGATGCATGATGTCTTTACCTATTATTTGATATATTTTTTTATAAATCTGACCCTTTACCTGCCCATAGAAGGGATTCAAAATGACAACTATTTCACATAAATTAACTTTTTCAACTTAACTTTTGAAAATGTTCCGGAAAGTCTGACACTTTTATATATATCTTAAATTAAAGATAATGTAATATACTTTATTATGGAAAAAAAAATTTCGGATCTAACATCTAACTATCAAATTGTCCAAACAATTATTATAATATATCATACAATACTTGAAGAATAGAAAATTTAATATTTAATTTTATCAATTTATTTATTTTTTAAAAATTGAATATTCAAGAGAAAACTTTTTAAACAAAATCGTTTAACTTACTTGTCCATCGAATGTAATGTGTTATGTCTGGAAAAAAATTAATTATTTAATTTTTAAATTTTAGAATTGATACTGAAGTGTGCTAAATTTTCAAAGTAATGGTTAAATTAAATAGTCTTTTACCAACAAATACTTGAAATAAATTATCTATAGAAATTTTACAGCATGATACAATTTATATTCCGATTAACATATTAAAACACATAATATTGTATTTAATCAATTTCAGATATCATCTATGAGGTGTGTTCAGAAAATAACGGGAATTTTTAAATTTCGCGGGTTTTGAGAGTCTAATCATCATATAAAATGTAACAAAGTATTTGGAATATCATCTAAGACCTATGGCGAGTCTGTCATGCGTAATACAAGAGTGTACAAATAGTATAAGCGTTTCCAAGATGGCCGTGAAAACGACGTTAAAGATTACGAACGCCTGGACGGCGTAGCAGCAAAATTTGTTCCAAAACTGTTGAATTTCGAACAAAAACAGCGGCGAATGGAAGTTGCTCACTTTATGAAGTCAACGACGATTCAAAATTACTGAAACTTGTTAAAACAGATGACGAAACATGGGTTTATGGATACGACGTCGAAACTAAGGCTCAATCGTCTCATGGAGACATAATGGATCGCCAAGATCCAAAAATGCTCGAACGTGATGGTTATGCTCATTGTATTCTTCAATTTTAATGACATAGTGCATCATGAATTCTTGTCACAAGATCAAATGATCAATAAGGAGTACTACCTACCAGATCAACGTCGTTCGCGTGAAGCAATCCGAAAAAAACGCCCGGATTTGTAGCAAAACAATTCATGACTTTTGCACCACGATAATGTNTTTTTTTACTTAATACTGCCATAATTTTTTTAAAAATTACCAAATCAAAATATTTTTTTTTTTATAGATGCATGATGTCTTTACCTATTATTTGATATATTTTTTTATAAATCTGACCCTTTACCTGTCCATANTTTTTATAAATCTGACCCTTTACCTGCCCATAGAAGGGATTCAAAATGACAACTATTTCACATAAATTAACTTTTTCAACTTAACTTTTGAATGTGTTCCGGAAAGTCTGACACTTTTATATATATCTTAAATTAAAGATAATGTAATATACTTTATTATGGAAAAAAAAATTTCGGATCTAACATCTAACTATCAAATTGTCCAAACAATTATTATAATATATCATACAATACTTGAAGAATAGAAAATTTAATATTTAATTTTATCAATTTATTTATTTTTTAAAAATTGAATATTCAAGAGAAAACTTTTTAAACAAAATCGTTTAACTTACTTGTCCATCGAATGTAATGTGTTATGTCTGGAAAAAAATTAATTATTTAATTTTTAAATTTTAGAATTGATACTGAAGTGTGCTAAATTTTCAAAGTAATGGTTAAATTAAATAGTCTCTTACCAACAAATACTTGAAATAAATTATCTATAGAAATTTTACAGCATGATACAATTTATATTCCGATTAACATATTAAAACACATAATATTGTATTTAATCAATTTCAGATATCATCTATGAGGTGTGTTCAGAAAATAACGGGAATTTTTAAATTTCGCGGGTTTTGAGAGTCTAATTATCATATAAAATGTAACAAAGTATTTGGAATATCATCTAAGACCTATGGCGAGTCTGTCATGCGTAATACAAGAGTGTACAAATAGTATAAGCGTTTCCAAGATGGCCGTGAAAACGACGTTAAAGATTACGAACGCCTGGACGGCGTAGCAGCAAAATTTGTTCCAAAACTGTTGAATTTCGAACAAAAACAGCGGCGAATGGAAGTTGCTCACTTTATGAAGTCAACGACGATTCAAAATTACTGAAACTTGTTAAAACAGATGACGAAACATGGGTTTATGGATACGACGTCGAAACTAAGGCTCAATCGTCTCATGGAGACATAATGGATCGCCAAGATCCAAAAATGCTCGAACGTGATGGTTATGCTCATTGTATTCTTCAATTTTAATGACATAGTGCATCATGAATTCTTGTCACAAGATCAAATGATCAATAAGGAGTACTACCTACCAGATCAACGTCGTTCGCGTGAAGCAATCCGAAAAAAACGCCCGGATTTGTAGCAAAACAATTCATGACTTTTGCACCACGATAATGTACCTGCTCACAATTCATTGCTTATTCGTCAATTTTTTACCAAAAATAATACTGTAACGATGAGCTAGTCTCGATATTCTCCAATTGTTAATTTACCGTTACTTCTTTTAAGGAGAAAAAAATGGAAAGTATTCCTTCAATTTTGTTTTGACAAAAGTCACTTATATGCATTTATAATTTTCATTAAAAAATATATTACTTTGAAAAATAAAAAATATTTTTAAAACATTTACACCAATTTTCAAACAGTAGAAGTTTAAATTTAAATTAAAATCGCTGTTTTAACCATTAAAAAATAAACCAGTAAAAAATGTTTACTAATTGTTCTTAGTAATAATAATTAAGTTTTTTTTTTTAGATTTATAAACAAAGAAATGTATGTTTACCACTTGTATTGTCAGTTTCACAGAAAGTTAGTAGATTAAATAGAGAACAGCTCCATAAAATTATTTTAATTAGACTTTCATAAGATGCCATTATGATCTGTAAACAATGAATAATTTCAATTTTAGAAAGTGTATTTATAATATATATATATATTTATAACAGTTCGTGTATAGACACCGCACAGTATACACGTTTATCGCCGCTCGCTCCGTTATCAGCTCGTTTGCGTGTGTTCTGTATATTAATTATCGTGCCCTGCGCTCGTCGCGCGGTACTAGTACCGCAGGTAATGTACAAGCTATCTAATCTTAAACCTATAAATTACCGCACTATAAATATTATTCATATACCTACATCATTATGAGCCACTTTAATCGCCCAATATCTACTAACAACAAAANTACTAGGGAGGACACGCCTTATGTGTGTCAACTTGTCCTTTTAAAAAATGGTGTTCAAGGCGTGAGGCAAAACTGTCTTTTTTTCTAATTAATTAATAATTATTAAAAAAATTAATATTAATTAATCAGCCTTTTATCAATTGCTCTCAATATATCAAGTAGTCGGTATTACTACAAATGTTCAAGTTTTTATGAAGAATACTTTCTTTAAAAGATTCAATTAAAGCTTAAGGATGTCAACTAATAGTGTATTTAAGAGTCACATCTATCATAACACCCCTTCCCCTAAAATATTTTACGCCATATTTTTACAGCTAGTATAAGTGCTGTTTCACAATATTAAATTAAATGCATCATTTCCTGATTTCTTCGTCGTATTAGACATTTTTGGTTGAATTTGGCGTTAAAAAAAAAAAAAAATTAACGGTCAAACATAGTGTTGTACCACAAAATAACCTGTTAAGGAAAGAGAGACTTAGGAGTAGTATTTGATAATAATATCTTTGCTTAGATATTTACGTACGTGTGCTCGTACAATAGTCACCGTGCTCGACTGACAAAGTATAAGACACAAGTACACTAGATGTTGAGGACAAAAGTAGGTAAGTATAATAAAAGATCTCCAGAGGAATGAAAAAAATTTGACTTTATACAGTAAGCCGGACAGCGATAACCTAGTTCTAAGACTGATGAATGACAAAAAACATAAAGCTGCGTACTGAAGTCGACGATGATCTTTTGGATTTAAATAGGTTTAGAATTATTGCTTATTTCGCAATTATTTTTTAATCTCAGCTCATAAATCGCTTGTAGCGGATGCGAGGTCTGTGTTTTATTTTATATTTTTTACAATAATGATAGCGTGACACCACTCATAATAAAAAAATCTTATAATTAATTTGTACTCCCTTAAAGTCATTATTAGATTATTAATAATTTTTAATTAAATTAAAAATAATAATTACCTCAGTATTCCGTGATTTCCTTGAAACCAAATGTTATAGTAAATTAATAATATTCATTAGTATATAAGATTAGTTAAATGCAAAAAACATGTTTATTCAAATGTTCATTATTATTTACTAAGTTGGTTCTTAAATATTTTCTAATTTTAAACTTCAAACTCTGAAGATACTTATACTTCTACTCATTATGAGATAATTTTATACATTGTTAAATTTATTATTTCATTGAATTGGTGTCACAAAAATAGCGAGTAAAAATATCATAATGTAGTATTATAAGTAATTTCTATAAATGTTGAGGGGGCTATCTTCATTCTTTCTTCACTCTTAAAACCATTTTATGTATCAATAAATAAAATTATCAGAGCAGTGAAAAAAATATAGATGAAATCAGTTAGTGATTAAAATTACTAACATAAACACTATAAAAATATATATGAAACTAAAAATCACCAAAATTGATTTTCTAACATATTTAAAGAGAAATCAAGTAGCTCATGTTAAAAGAATCACTCTGTATACAACAACTTTATAACTTTTTATCATTTCTTCTTAAAATCTACAATACTGAATTATTTATTATAAATTTTATATTAAATTTAATTAATGTAATAAGTATTTATTTATATATTATACTTAAAGGCCTTAAAACTTATAATCACGATATAATTATGGAAATCAGAAATACTGTTATTTTTAGAATAATCTAACAATTTCTTCTAATAAATAAACACTATTTACAGATTTGCATCGAAGTATTTTTTATATTAGTGACTTTAATCACTAAATTTTTATTCTATGCTTACTTATTATGTACATGATATTTAAAAATAGGGTTAAAAAAATCATTTAAAACGTTTTCATAACGTAAACAAAAAAACTTAAAACATTTTAAATACCAATAAATTATAAATGTTATATATTATACTTATAAATCATTCAATGTAAATTTTATTCACTGTTGCCTCCCATTTATACAGTATTTTAAATTAAAGTAAAAGAATATGTCTGATAAAAGGGATATGTTTATATCATTTACAAAAAAAAAAAAAATTGTATTGTGCATACATTATTCAAGTACGTGATGTTGCACGTTGGTAACATTAGTTGTCGATAAAATTCTAGTGTTAAGCCGCATCTCTTGCCGTAGGTGAACGGATGGGTGACCGTACGAAAGCTTTTTCGATGACGAAAAACACCATGTTCCCAGTGCAGAAGGCATCGGGGAACGACTGCACTCATAAATTTCCCATAATATACCAATCCAATTGGTATCAACTTCTTTTCTACATCATTTTGAACTTTGTTAAATTTTGTACTTTTTGCGATTTTGCTATGGTATTAGTTGGTATATATAGATGTATATGGTATTAGTTTATATTATGTAAAGGATTGAAGTAAACACTATCTTATTACGCTATCGTTTTGAAAAATTGGTCCGTTGAGAGCTGAGAAAAAGTAGTGACAGACACAAAAATAAAAACACATCATAATAAAATTAATACCTTCTCAGCTTCGTTCCAAAGTCAAATAAATAATTTATAATTTCTACCTACAAACTATGGACAGATTAGATCACAATTACGAACTAAGATTCAATTGTGGTGTCTTATGTTCAATTAGTATTAATCGATTAAAAAACGAAATACTATTATTGCCTACAATCGTAGGTTTCTTAACCAATTGTCTTCAATAGGTTTTCAAGTGTTTATTTTTCCTTATTTTTGTCGTCATACGATCTGTTATGTTTAGAATAATCGCTTAAGGATTCTTTTTCTCAGAAGCAATTGAATATTTTCTATTTCTATAAAGGAGAATGTTGTATGCTATAATGCCATACTTTGGCGAGGTTGTACGTATATTCGGATGGGGGGAGTACGTGCACACGTAAGCACATATAAAAAACTAAAAACTATTAATCATAATCTGTATTATTACAGGTGTAGTCGAAAACTAACACCCCCATGAGACTTAAATGTAAAATCGTTTCACAAATAAAACTCCTCTATACACAGTGGATAAAATTAAAAAAGAAATATTACTAATCAAAATATAAATTAAATTAATTTTTTGGACTCATTAGATACTATCTTTGATATTTCGATCGCTAATTCTTTAGAAACCAATTTTTGTAAACAACGAACGTGAATTACTTATTTCTAAATCAGTCTCTAGTATTTAAACTTAAAAATATAACAAAATTCCTTTTAGAACTACTCGATTGACTAGAGATATAAAAGATAATGATTTTGCAGAACTTAAACTAAAAAAATTATATGAATTAATTAAATAAGATTAATGTAAATGAATTGTTAAATAAAAATATATTTTATAAGTATTCAATAGTTGGGTTTATTAATAATTATTTAAAATATTAATTAATAAATATTATTAATAAATATATTTATTAATATTTTCATGAATATCATATATTTTAGCATACGCTTTATTTATAAAAAAAATGTATAATTTTTTAATTTTAGTGAACAAATTTTTTATTTATAATTTACATATATATCAACTAAACTACATAAAAAAAGAAACTAAAAAAATTAAATTATAAGCTTACTTGAGACATACTAGATATATATCATACATTTTTCTTGACAACTATCATAAGAATAATTCATGGCCCAATGAAACAGACTATTGTTACCTCTGGTATTACAAAAACTTTATTAGTGATGAATTTTGAATCTAAATCTTTAAATAATTAAAAAAAAACAATCGAAATTGTTTAGAAATTTTTATTTTAACTTATTATCAAGGTAAAAAATTGATAATAGCTTTAATGTTTGATATATCCTAAAGATCGAGATTTCGAATATTTTTTCATCTTAAAGTACATTTAATTAGATTTTATTTAATGTAGGTTTTTTGGAACATTATCAAAAATTGAAAAAAAAAAATATGTTGATGAGCTCCCGCAGTACCTTAGATAATGATTGAATTTTCAATAAGAGCATGTTATCATCAAGGAAAATGTTTAAAGTATTATCAATACTTATATTACAATAATCTGTTCTGTTTACCAAGTCATTTAAATATAAAGTGAAAATTAAGATCATCAACATTGACTGTAATTTTTTGAAACATTTCTCATTATTGTCGGGACTGAAGGGAAATTTTCAAAATAATGGTATGATAGCTTTAACTTGGTACGATATGTGATCTTTTGACAAATTCGATCCAGTAGCAGTGGGAGTAATGGCGTATACGGTAACACAAAATAAATTACAGCAGAGTAAAACCAATAGCTCTCAATTGTGCGTCGAAGATAAAATAATTTTTTTCAACAATTTAATTATATATAGTGAGTATGTAACAAAATGCTTGTATTTTGATAAAAAGTTATCCTAGAATTATCATCAACCCAACAAAATTTTTTACTTATTAATTATTAATAATCAAAATGTTGCTTTGAACGTAATATAAGAAGGCAATAATTATTATGAAAATTTTTTGACGAAATGATTATTGAATCAAAAGTTATTGGATCTGTTATAACATTGTATCTCACTCTGTATAAAATACTAATAAAAAAAAAATTATAAATGATCTACACGTAGTAACTCATAAAGGAAGAATAGAGTTAGTTTAGTTGGGTAGTAGTTGTTAAATAGGTGTAGGTGAGAAGTCGCCCGTTGTTTCATCAACTAGTATTATCCAATTTATATACGAGACTTTTTGTGATTGAGTTACTACTAAAAAAAGTAAATAATCTCTGACGGGGTGTGGATAAGAGGGTTCGTCAAGAACAGACTTGAACTAAACTTACGAATAGTCAGGATCTGTTAGAATACTTTTGTGAGTAAGTGCAGTAGAAATATATAATAATAGTAATAGTTGAATCAACATCACCAATAATTAATTATTTTATAGACCTTTAAATAACTCACCTGAGGTTTCGCGTGTGATTCAAGATTTTATAATGTGAAGGTAATTGAACTTGAATAAACTTTAGTCTTCACTTCCAGGCCTTAATAATCGAGGTTAATAAAGAAGAGGATGCTTGATCGATTTGGACGCGACGGCTACTGGATGTGATTTTTGTAGTATTTTTTATGGATCAATTTAATTAAATTAATTTTGTGAGAGATCTCGATTATCAAGGGACACCATTTATGATTTTTTATAAACAATATAAAAAATGTCATAGTACAATCAAAGACAGTTATGCATGAAAATAGTATTAGGTTGCCACGCAATAGAATGACTTATCTACATAATTAAAAGTACATTGTAGTGAAAAAATATAAAGGTTACATTTTTTGAATAATTTAGATGTACAAAATATTGGTTACATATTATTTAGAATAATTAAAATATAAGAGCTTATGAATATTACAACATACATATTTTTCAAAAAGTTATAAAAGTATAAAATGTAAAATTAGAAATTTTCTCACAAAATAGAATGTTTTTTAACTAAATGGCCATTTTCAGATAGAAGATTATGTATTATTATTTTTATTTATTAAACGTAACAAAATATTTTATTTGACATATAATTAAAAAATGTAATATTTCCGGAACATTTTCAAAAGCTTGGTTGAAAAAGTAAACTTGTCATACAAAAGTTACTTTTTCAACTCCTCTAGTAATCGCGTAAAATCAGAATTAAAAACATATATATATATAATAAATTATGATATTATTATAGTTCACAATTTAAAAAATTGTGTAAAAATATAAGTATACCGATACGTTTTTCTACAAAGCGGTGGACCATTATTATTACTATGTGTACTTATCCCCGTAGACCATATTTTTTCAAAGTACTTTTACGTTGGCCGAGCTACCGAGTCGAAGTTTCCCTTTGACATTCGCTTTTTCGAGACGGCGACATGCGTTTATTTGAAATTCCTACCGAACACACTGTTTAATGGTTAGACGAATTTATATAAATAGTAATTTAAAATTACTATACAAAAAAAAAATTAAAATGACTAATTTTCATATTTTTGATACTCCGATTGCCGAGCTCCTTTGCCGTTAGATAGCGGCACCCGTTTATTTGAATTTAACGCCGTGCCGTCACGTCCTGGCGACGACACGACATCACCGATACGACGTACGTTCGAAGCGACGTCGTGCTGAAACGGTATATCCTCGAGGCGACATGCTGTCCTTAGCAAATCGCTTCTCCCACGTTCTCTAGATCGAGGTGCAAACCTTTGGTTTCTGTAGCGACAATAGTTACGTTCTCTAGATCGAGGTGCAAACCTTTGGTTTCTGTAGCGACAATAGTTACGTTCTCTATATTATTTATAGAAAAACATATTTTATATATTTATTATAAAATAAATCAAAGATTTAATATGAACATCGGCAGCACTGGTTATTATAATGATTATTGTTATCAGTACTTAATAATCTCGAATGATTTAGCAATTTCGGTATTATAACATAAACCTTAGATTACATTTTAATTGTCTTTAGTTGTTTTTGTCCAAATTTTTCGTTCAAGATTAAATATTTAATTTATGTAAAGTTCACTTAAGAAATTAATTAAAATGGTTCTTGAAAGTACTATGATATGGTATGTACACTTTATACATTTCCCATTTAATAATATTAAATAATGTGGATGCATCATATCCTAATATTGTTCCTTGTGAACAATTTATCATTTATTTATTAATATGTTATTTAAATAATAATGAACAATGGATTACATTAAATACAAAGTACTATAATATAATATACTATGTAATCTAGTACTAGCTAAAATTTCTAATTTTATATACTTGATGAATAATATGTATATTTTAATATACTTAAACAAACAACTGAAAATTAGAAGAAAGGTTAATATTTAGTATTGTCTTATTTTTTTTAGTGTCGATAATAGTGATTACATGAGAAATGGAGATTTTGTACCAACTCGTCTTCAGGCACAACAAGATGCTGTTAATTTAGTATGTCTCTCAAAGACACGTGCGAATCCTGAAAATAATGTTGGCCTTTTAACTTTAGCAAAGTATATTATTTGATTTATAATGTACATTCCAAAAGCTGTATTTTTTATTTATATATATTTTTTTTATAGTGTTCGTGTTTTGGCTACATTAACTGCTGATGTTGGTCGTATATTGTCAAAGTTGCACCAAGTTCAACCCAATGGAGATATTAACTTTTCTACTGGCATAAGAATTGCTCATGTACTGTAACATTTTTCTCTATTATCTCGCATACTAGATATCTACATATTTCAGTTTAAACAATCACTAATGAATTGATAAATAAAAAGTTCTTTTAAAACAATCATACTTTAAGCACTTTTACTAAAATTTATATTATATGACAAAAAGAATAATTTGAAGATAAATAATCAAATGTTAATTATCAATAATAAATATAATACAAATTATTTAATTTTTGTTATTATATCTCAATGAATTATCTTAAAAATTAATTGATTGTGGACTTTATACTAAATATAATTTAATTATTGTATACAGTTATAAAATGTATATGCAATAAATTAATACTATTTTTTTTTTATTATTAGCTGGCATTAAAACATCGTCAGGGTAAAAATCATAAAATGCGTATCATTGCATTTATTGGAAGTCCTGTTGGACTAGATGAAAAAGAAATGATTAAATTAGCAAAGCGACTTAAAAAAGAAAAAGTGAATGTTGATGTTGTTTCATTTGGAGAAGAAGTATGATATATCTATGTAATAGCCTAATAGATAGGCTAATTATTTTTTTTTTTTTTTAATAATTACTATTGTAGGCTGAGAATTCTGATATATTAACTGCATTTGTTAATACATTAAATGGCAAGGATGGTGGAGGTAGTCACTTGATTGCTGTACCACCTGGATCACACTTTTCTGAAGCATTGGTATCATCACCAGTTATTCAAGGAGAAGATGGTGCTGGTGGAGCAGGTCTTGGTGGATCAGGTTATGAATTTGGAGTTGATCCGAATGAAGACCCTGAATTAGCCCTGGTAAATTAATTTGGTTGCTTATATATTGTGATTTATTAAGAATACTACTCCCATTTTTTCATAAAAAATGTACAGATTAAAATTTAATTTGTTTTTTATAACAATAGTAAACATCAAGTTTATTGTAAGAAAAAATAATGCCTAAAGGAATCTATTATTATATTTTTACAATTAAATGTAGAATAGTTTAAATAAAATTAGCTTGTAAAGATTAAGAAATGATAAAGAGCGGTGTTATGTTAAATGATCCTTTTTTTCTTATATTAAACTGAATATTTACTATAATTCATAAAAATAAATCAAGCTATAATTCATACATTTTTATGGAAATATTTGATTAAAATATGAGGGTTTAGTAACTAAATAAATTACAATCTTATCACAATCATATTAAACGCTGTTTAATATTATAGTTATTGAGAATAAATTACAATAACTACCATAAAAATTAACTTTTTTTTAATAATACTTCTTATTCATTTAATTAAATTTTTTTAATTATTTAGGAAAAATTAAAAAAAAATATTCTGAGTGTTATATAATACCATGTAATCATTAAATAAGAGTAAAATTATAAAACATTTTTCTTAAAGGCATTACGTGTCTCCATGGAAGAACAAAGAGCTAGGCAAGAACAAGAAGCTCGTCGAGGTCAGGCTTCATCTGCTGGAGAAAATTCAACTAGTCGACCAGCCACTATTAATGAAAGTAAAAATAATTTTCATAAAATGTTCCATTATCTGAATATTTGTTTAAATTTGTAATTAAAATTTATAAAATTATTTTTTTAAGTGTATTTAATTCCAGACCTATATGTATATGTATAGGTATATGAAAAAAATAAGTTATTTAACATTTAAACTTTACACTTAAAGGTGCCAACTTAAATTTTTTGATGAGAACACACATAAGTAATTAGCTTATTTATTAAGTAGTGATCTAACTAAGAAAACAGCTGGTTAATAGCAATTTTTGGACTATTATTTTGGAAATTGTCAACACTTTATTATAAAACTGTAGGAGGAATGTGTCAAGATATATCTAGAAATTAAAATAACAATAACTATGCTTTATCTCCCCACTATTTTGCATTATTAATGACTACGAAGAAAATAAAACAAGTTTTTAATGACCATTAATTTTCTTAATTAGAATATTAATATTAATTTTCCTAGATTTTTATTTAATAAATATGTAACATATATAAGTTCCCATTTAAAAAAATTGATTTTCTCTTTTATGTATAAGAGATGAACATAAAATATCTTCATGATTATTAAATTAACAATTGCATGTATATAAAAGAACCAAAAAAAAACTCAATATTATTTTTATTTTTTGATTAAACAAGTAGTTAATCATACAAAAGTAGTTATTATTTTCAAAGAATTTTCATAAATTGAAATATTTAAACAATAAAATTTGATTTTGCATAGTACCCTAAAACTTGAGTATGTATTATATAAAAGAAAAATTTTTATTTTAATGATTCCTCTTATAGACAAACTATAATATACTAACAAAAAATAATTTATTCATGTCAATAATTTAATAATTTAGAGGTGATGTTTCAAAATTCTGTTTCAACTTTCAATTAATATCAGTTAACATTTAGCTAAAAATATAATCTTTTATTTTTCATGGAGTAAATTTTATAAATGATTTTCTTTTGGAATTGGGTGAATTGTTGTTTGATTCTTTTTACTTAAATTTGTTATTTCTACGTTACTTTAGCTCCTACTGAGGAAGCAATGTTGGAACGTGCTTTGGCAATGTCAATGGAAACCAGTGAAGATGAACCTATGGTGATACAAGAAGGATCTGGTTCAGTTGCTGCAGCTCAGGTAGACTTTAACAACATGACTGAAGAAGAACAGATTGCTTTTGCTATGCAAATGTCCATGCAAGAATCTGCTGAAGTAAAAACACAATCATCTAGTGCCAAACCCAAAGATGAAGCAATGGAAGTTGAAGAAGATTATTCTGAAGTAATGAATGATCCAGAATTTATTCAAAGTGTATTAGAAAATCTTCCTGGTGTTGATCCTCAAAGTGATGCAGTTCGTCAAGCTGTTGGATTAGTTAGCAAAGACACTAAGGATAAAGATCAAAAAAATGAAAAAGATAAAAATACTAAAAAATAAAGTTAATATTCATATAATACATTTAAATTTTCTTTTCATGATTTTTGGCATATATTTTTTATTTGTAAACAAATATTCTAAAAGATTAAAATTAAAAAAATATTTCTTGTATTTAAAAATTATAAAAATAGAATGTTAACATTATGAATTATGCATAATTGAATTATAAAAAACTCAATAATTATAATCAGGAAAATAATTCACTGTTTAAATTTTTCAAAGTTATAACTAAATTTTTGCCTTAACTCGATATAATTCTCAAATCCAGCTAGTTTTTTAGTTATTACACAGAATTTTCCATCGTGATTTAGTAAATTAAATACTCCTTATATACAAATTAGTAAAGTTTCTTAGGGAGATCCTATTTACAGAATGATTCTTTTAATGCTAATGATTCAATTTATCTTAAAATAACAAATAATTTGCAAAGTTTTTTTTTTTTAGTGTTTATTAGTTACAAATGTATCTTTATTTCATTTTTTGTGAGTCTACATAAATATTTAACTTGCTTATAAAATAGAAAATAGCTGGTTGATTATGAGAATTTTGGACCAGTATTTCAGTTGTTTTTACAATTTAGAGTAATGATAGGATGTAAGGCGCGGATATAACAATTTTTATCACTAGACATTTCTCAAAATGTTAATAATATCTGAAATAATGGTCCAAATGTTATTATCAAACTCTTAATATCTTAATTACCTTATTTTATAAATAATTAATATAAAAAATATTTAATATCATTTTCATTTGGAGAAAAATATGTAAATGACAAAATCAAAATTAAAAATTCACAAAAAAATTATTATTTTAAGATAACTTGAATGCTCATTATTAAAATATTCACTCTGTATATATATTTATTTTATAATAACTTTTTAAATAAAACTAATATTTTTTATTTAAATTAAATTTTAAAACTACCCAAATATTGTTCCTATCTCCTTAAATGCGTAATGTACCTTAATTACTAGTGAGAGATTGATAAGCAAGTATATCCAAGTGAGACAGAGTTGTTTGGCTATGATGATAATTGGCGATAGACGAGTCGTTGAATAAAATAATTTAAGTTATTAACAATATAAATAAAACAAAAGTAGTGGTATAGAAATCTTATTCTATAACCCAACTACCCTTTGTTAGTTCGACGTCAGTAGTTCCGGGCTCTACAGATGAGTAGAATTGTCACATCAGCATTTACCTCTATGCTAATTAATATAAATAACGAATTAAGTAAATAAAATTGCAATTTGTATAATATAAGTATTAAAAACATGGAAATATATGTCTTTACAGCATCGATATAAATAATACTACTAGGAAATAATTAAAATATCATCAATTTATTGTTTCTAAGTTTTTTTTATGAATCTAGAAATAGAATTTAAATAACAGATGAAAAAAGACTAAAAACTAAGAATTTGGAACTGTTGAGTGATATTGTCGCATTAAAGAATATCCAAATTTTGTAGCCATTTAATTTTCTCTTTCATTAATACCTCTCAGACATTCATCAAATTTTGTTAATTCAATCTGTTCTATATATATGTTACATTATTATTTTTATATTATTAAATTATGATTAATATAATAATATGAGACTATTTAAAGCAATTTATTATAATACAACAGATGTGTTTATCATAATTGTTTGTCTAATTATTTATAAATATATAATACATGTCCTTAACTTTTTGTCGTAGTTTATTTTGTTCAAGAAATTTCAACCATAATTATTATTAATTAATTTTAAAAATGTTTTCATTAAATATTGTTAAATTAATTTTTTTATTATTTTATTTTATTTTATATACAAAAGCAAAAACGAATTCGCAAAAAACAATAGATCAACTAGATAAGTTACTAATGTATCCTGGATGGAAAAACATAAAAGATATAAAATATATAAAATATTATGATGCAAAATATTATCTTCAGAATCTTATTAAAACACCTACACATGGCCTTCAACTTGCTCATAAGATACGGGCTTTAACTATATATCTTGGATGCACATATGCAAAAGTTATGAATAATCTTTTTTCAATAATTTTTAACTGCATACAATTTTTTAAAATACAAAATGACTTAATAAATGGATGCATTTATACCGAAGAGCTCATAAACATAATATCCAAATTAATTGTTCCAATGGCAACATTAATGAAAGGTGCCATGGACACTTTAGATTTATTACATAATAAACCATGGGCTACTTTTAAAAGAAACTGCAATCACTACATAATGAGTCGTGTGTTAGGGAGAATAGGAGATATTCTTGACAAATTAAACCATCGAACTCTATTCAGTGTTGATATATCTGTCTACATTGCGACATTAGATTTAATATATTCATTTTTTAATGAGATAAATACATATTTAGAACATGACACTTATCAATATTGCGAATTGGTGCCTTATGATGAGAACTATTTATGGAATAAATGGGTTCAAGAATATAAAGTTATTCATAATGACAAGAAATTTGTATTTTTACAATTTTTATCCAGAAAAATTAAAAATTATATCATGGAAGAAATTCAAAAAAAGTATTTTGAACTGGGATTTCTATTTGATCCAATAACTGAAGAGACATTTATACCAACATCAGAGAGTCTAATTTATCCAGGTAAAATAATACTACTAGGAAATAATAAAATATCAATTTATAGTTTTAATTTTTTTTTTTTATAAATTTAGAAATAGAATTTAAATAACAGATGAAGANTTATAAATTTAGAAATAGAATTTAAATAACAGATGAAGAAAGACTAAAAACTAAGAATTTGGAACTGTTGAGTGATGTCGCATTAAATAATATCCAGATCTTGTAGTCATTTAATTTCCTCTTTCATTAATACCTCTGAGACATTCATCAAATTTTGTTAATTCAATCTGTTCTATATATATGTTACATTATTATTTTTATATTATTAAATTATGTTTAATATAATAATATGAGACTATTTAAAGCAATTTATTATAATACAACAGATGTGTTTATCATAATTGTTTGTCTAATTAT